AGGCGGGGGCCCCGAGAGGGTGGAAGGAGGCAGGCGAAGGGCGGGGCACGGAGGCCCAAGCGAGGGACAGACTCCAGCTCTGACTTTTTCCGCCGCGCGGGGTAAGTTTCCAGTCCGTTATCTGGACTGGGATTCCTTTATTTACTCGGGAGTTGCAGCCGTTTGGGAAGGACACCCTCATGGAGATACTTTTAATTTCGGAAATGATCTCTTAGCCCTGGGGGTGCAGATTCAGGGAGGGGTGGGGCCCAGCAAGGTTTGGGGGGGGGGTTCCCCAGCAGAGCCCTCCACCGGATAATGTCCCGCAATTTTCCCCCCACGGATGTCCGCTCTCCCCGGGGGACCCCGAGAGCGGGACTTTGCCTGAGAGCACCCCAGGTCCGGGCCACCTCCAGGCCCCCTCCCCTTTCTGGGCACTGCGTGGTGGTGGGAGGCTGGTTCCCTGTTCTTGGGCCTCTCTCCCCAAACACAGATCCTGTCCATGTTCCCAACAGGGTACCCAGCAGGCACCAGTCTGGCAGCAGGGTGGGGCGGGGACCTCGTGGGCACAGCCAGGGGCTGGGGTTTCCCTGGTGCTCGGAGGCTGGAGGGTGGGATGAGTCACCGATGATTCACCCGGAACCCGGGGAGAGGGAGTGGGGTGGGGTGAGTCGAGGATGCCTGTCTCTGGGGGCAGCCCGCAGCTTCTGCTGCGTCTGGAGGGGCTGCAACTTGAATGTTCACAGCCCTGACCCGGGACGGGGCCCTGGGGACTCGGAGTGAAGCACAGTGCTAGTTCCGATCATTCCCGGACTCAAGAGTCCGTCCCTGGCCCTCTCCGGCCCCTGGGGGATTCAGGATTCCGGGCTCCCAGCCTCCTCTACCCTCAGACCCCAGAGTCTGGAACCAGCCCCTTTCTCCACGAGGATTTGGGCATCTCACCCTCCCCTGCGCCACCCTCCTGAATCCACCATCTCCTGCCTGTCCCCTACCCCAGGCTTCCACTGCAGCCATGTCATTCCTCCTGCTGGTGGTCTCGGCCCTTCACATCCTCATCCTCATCCTGCTGTTCGTGGCCACTCTGGACAAGGTAAGGCTACTCGGAGCGGCCTGCCCTCCTGCAGACGCCGCCACACCCCTCCTCTAAAGGCACCCGCCCTCGTCCCCCAGCCTCGGATGCCGCCCTCCTCCCCCTCCCCCTGACCCCTTCCCTTTTCTGACTAAATCCACGCTTTGCCCCAGTTCAGCCCCTTCTCGGCACCACGCCCTTTTTCTAACCCTTCCCCGCGGCTCCCTGGCCCCGCCCACTTTCCCATTCCCGCCCTTGTTTCTCTGCCCATCCCAGTCCTGGTGGACCCTCCCCGGGAAGGAGTCCCTGAATCTCTGGTCTGACTGCACGTGGATCAGTCACAACGAAACGTGGCTCTGCCGTGATGTCAGCGAGAACGGTGAGGGGTCGGGGGGGCTGGTCTGCACAGGGGAGGGGTCACCCCAAGTCTCTTCCCCTGGGACCAAGTCCCAAACGCGCCAAGGTTGGAGTGGGCAGGCCTGGCTCCCAGTGCTGAGTGAGGGGGGCCGATGTAGGGCCCACCTATCGCTATGGATAAGCTAAAAGCCCCCCTCCGTTATGATTCAGAAAGAGTGGAGGCCACATGCTATCGGTTTAAGAAATTGGGAGAACGTTCCCAGGATTCTGAAAAGATCGGACTATGTTTCCAAAGTTCTAAGGACCACATTGAGTTTTTATTTATTTATTTTTTATGTATTCTATTGATTTTTTTTTTTTTACAGAGAGGAAGGGAGAGGGATAGAGAGCTAGAAACATCCATGAGAGAGAAACATCGATCAGCTGCCTCCTGCACACCCCCTACCTGGGATGTGTCCGCAACCCAGGTACATGCCCTTGACCGGAATTGAACCTGGGACCTTTCAGTCCGCAGGCCGACGCTCTATCCACTGAGCCAAACTGGTCAGGGCCACATTGAGTTTTTAGAGGTGGGGCTTAGTCCTTCCCAGCTCTAACGGAGGGGGGCAGTGGCCGATGCACCCGAGTTCTAAAGGGGCAGTTTGCATCTATCAAAATTTCTAAGTCAGAAGAAGGTAAAAGATGAAATGAGTTTCCCCTAAGAGTGAAGCAAGAATTTCTGTTCTCTTGACTTAGATCCAGTGTTGTACTGGAGGTAGCCAATGCGACAAGGCAAGAACCTTCCTCATGCCGCCACCCTTTAATACAGTTCCTCATGTTGTGGTGACCCCCAACCATAACATTATTTTCGTGGCTACTTCATCACTGTAATGTTGCTATGGTTATGAATCGTCATGTAAATATCTGATATGCAGGATGTATTTTCATTGTTGGCGACCCACAGGTTGAGAACCGCTGAAAGTAAAACTGTTTCTATTCCCAGTGGACATCTTTCTGTAGAAAATCTTAAAGAATCTGCAAAGCAGCTTCTAAAACTGATCAGGGGGGTTAGCAAAGCGATAGGAATGAAGGTTGTTACTGTGTCATTCCCAAGTATCCAAACCTGCATGGCTCTAAATTGGGGGGAGGGGAGGGGGTGGTTGGAGACGACGACGAGCAAGCCGGTGGAGCTGGAACGCTGGGCCTCCGTGACTCCCCCTCTATCTCCTCCTCATTGCAGGCTGGCTGAAGGCCGTCCAGGCCCTCATGGTGCTTTCCCTCATCCTCTGCTGCCTGTCCTTCATCCTCTTCATGTTCCAGCTCTACACCATGCGGCGAGGAGGGCTCTTCTATGCCACTGGCTTCTGCCAGCTGTGCACCAGTAAGCATCGTTCCCTGGGAACTGAAGGGAAGGGAGGGGGCCAATCAGGATGCTGGGGACCCCGAGAATGGACCACGTGAGGTGCCTCCGTAGCACCGCTCTGCCCCCAGGGACTGGCAGTCTTCAGCGACTCCATGGTGGTCTGTGTCGCTGTCATGGGGGAGCGGGCACTTGGGGCTTCAAGGAGCCAGGGCTGAGGAAGGTGGTGGGCAGATCATTTAAATCCCCGAGATGGAGGTGGGGGGAATCAGGGATAGGTGACTAATGAATATCCCAGAACTCTGAGTCATCATAGTGGTCTTGTAACTATAATGGCAGCCCGCTGCTGTTTCTGGTGGACCTACCGTGGATCAGACACTTCAGGGAGTTTTATGTACTTTTCCTTTTTTTTTTTTTTTACTTCAAGTGCAAAGGGCTAAATTAATCATAGTCCTCGGTTTGGGGAACATTCTCTTCCTATGTTCCTGCAAAGCCCCTCTCTTGTTTTATTAATGCACTGTGTGCTTGGCTGGTAGACCTTCAAAATTATTCCTTGAATGGATGGGTGAGTAGCTATTACCGACCCATGTGTATGGATAAGGAGACCCAGAGATGAAAGCGCCCAAGGCCAGTCTGCAGCAGCCTGGTTGCGCAGAGTTGGGGGAGAAACCACAACTCCCAGCAGGCAGCGGTGCTGCCCGCTTGCCCTCCGGCGGCTCCTTCGCCCCATGGGTTGCTGGGATATGCAGTCTTCTTGGTTCCCGTCTCCCCACAGGCCTGGCCGTGTTCACCGGGGCCCTGATCTACGCCATTCACGTGAACGAGATCCTGTCCAAGCACCCGCCGGGGGGCAGCTTCGGCTACTGCTTCGCCCTGGCCTGGGTGGCCTTCCCCCTCGCCCTGGCCAGCGGCATCATCTACATCCACCTTCGGAAGCGGGAGTGAGCGCTGAGCGTCGCCTTGCGGCCCTGCCCACTCCCGGCCCCTTCGCCTCGCCCGCCTCCCGAAAATAAAACCGTTTAACCGCCTGCCTTTGCTCCTTCCTTCCTTCCTCCTCCAGGGCCCCGGGCTGCTCAGGCCTGAGCTCTCCTGAGCCTGGGACAGCCCGCCCCCCGCAGTGCCGCCTTCAGAACGTCCCGCTCCTGCCCCCCAGGTCCCTCCAAACTCGGACACAGGAGCAGAGGTCCCAAGGCCACGGGCCCTGCCACCTCAAGTCTCAGGATTCCCCCCGAGTGGGGCCGCCAGACACTGGCTTCCGGGGAAGAACGGAGTCTGGGTCCCCAGCCCCCCTCCCGTGTGCAAGGGGCTCTCCCTCCGGGAGGCAGGCCTGCGTGCTGTTCTAGGTCGTTGGTCTCTCGCTCTCTGGCCATCCCCTGGGAGACACGTTTCCATTCCCCTCTTAGAACGCAGCCTGCCCTCTTTGCAACCCGCCGCCTCCTCTTCCCCTCATCCCCAAACGCTGCCTCTGCCCGGACCCCTTAGTGAGAATTAGATGGCACCGCTGCACACTGCCCACTCACCCGGAGTCTTAGACAGGATTTATTCCGCTGGGAGAGGGAAATGATAGACCAATAAATATCGCACAGGCCCCTGGAGGAGGGAAGGTCCGGCGAGGTAGTTTGTGTAGAAAGGGGAGCGCAGGGCGGGGAAGGCACCTGAGGTTGGGGGGCCTGCATGGAATCGCATCCTGGTGAGGGCGGGTCCTCCTGGCCCACGGCTCCCCCCTCAGCCTGGGCGAGCTGATGAGCCGTGGGCCAGGCGGCGGCCGGCCTTAGAAGTCGTGCGGCTGATGGAAAGATCGGGTTTCTTTTAGGAATTCTGATCGTTCCCATGCAGCGACAACTGGCTGCCCCCAAGCTGAGCGCCCAGACGCTGTCACCGGCAGTGCGGCGCTCACTGGCCGCGGGCTGGGCGCCGCCGTGGTGAGCAGGGCGGGCACGGTGCCCGGAGCGGGCTAAAAAGACAATGATATGTGGCCTCCGGAGGGCGCAGCCGGAGGAGCGCACAGGTGGTCAGTAGGGTTAGCAGCTGTGATTGGCTGCCTCCCTCCTCAGCCGAACCCCCATTTGGTTGTTTACAGCTGGGGGGGGGGGGCAAATGCAGGCTGTCTTGATTGGGGGCTTTGTTTTAGGAATAAAGTGTAACATTGGAAACTAGAGCTGCCATGCATCGTAGCGGTGATGAGCAGTTTGTCATGAGGAGGCGGGGCTTAGCTGCTAACCAGGGGTGCTGCGCGGAGAGGTTTCTCCCCGGTTGTCACTGCGGGGCGGGGCCTGCGGGGGAAGTGTCCGTCGCCAACGGGTCTAGTTTGGGGAACCCCGAAGGCGGGTACGTCCCCACGCTCTCCGTCAGGGCTTGCAGGTGGCCCAGGGCCCGGGCTCCGTTGAAGGTCACGGCACAGCCCGTCTGGGTGAGGAGCCAGTTCTCCACCTCCGCCTGGAGCCAGCGGGAGGTCTCTGTAGGGGAGAGGCAGGAGTTGTGAGGAGCCGGAGGGACCTGGAAGGCGGGATGGGCAGGGCCAGGAGGAGGGAGGGCCTGGGTTTGGGAGGGGCGAGGAGGGGAGCGGGACCAGGCCTGGGAGGCTCGGCTCTGGAGCGCAGATGTGGGGACAAGCCAGGAGGGGTGGGGGCTCCTGTAGGATAGAGAAGGGACAGGGTCTCTTGTAGGGAAAGTGGAGGCTCGTATAGGAAGGCGCACGCGGGGAGGGGGTCGTGAAGTAGGGACATGCTATCTAGAGGTTGAGATCAGGATAAAAACACGTCCATCAAGACTGTTAACTGGGTTCAGGGTGTCCCCTCTGAGGGCCGGTGTCACCATCGGAATCGGTCATGCGACTGTTTGTAGCATGAAGTGGGGACGGGCAGCGTGATGACTGTGCTTCACGGGGGCAGTCCCTTG